CATTCTAATATGCTGATTTATTATCAGTGCTGGAAACTGTTGTGCTGCTTAATATTTCTGAGATAATTTTAGAATTTTTTTTTAAGAATAAAAAAACCCAGGATTTATTTAAAATAAAAATGTTTTGTAACAACATGCACTACTGTTCAAAAGTGTGGGGTCAGTTTTTTTTTTTTTAACATAACATTTATTCAGCAAGGATGTTAAATTTATTTTAAAAAGTGATGATAAACACATACTGCTAGGAAAGATTTCTATATTTTGAAAAACCCTGCCAGGATTCAATCAATCAATCAATCCTGTATAAAGTATCACAGGTTCCAGAAAAAAACAGTTTTTTCCAGCACTGACAATAACCAAGTATCAAATCAGCACATTAAAATGATCTTGGTTTGGCACCAGCTGTCCTTCCTTTCTCCCTGTAGCACTCACTGTCTTAGGTGTCTTACATTACAGATGATGGCTTTCCTAAAGACAAAAGTAGAAAAATAATGATTTAATTTAATGCACAATATTTATAAAATAATACTAGTATTGTTTAATACATCAGTACATGTTGGAATTAACATTGGACAAGCATAATGAGTGATGAAAAATGTTTACCGTTAGCTTTTGTAAACTACTGCAGTTAACCGTTTCACTCTTCAACATTCAAGTTTACAGTATACATTTCTATAACGTGTTACTCACTGCATTTATCTGCTGACAAGATAGCTAGACAACTAATGTGAACTCATATTTAATTATAGCTCACATAACGCTTGGCAATAAAACGGAAATAAAAGCTTGGCCTTTTCCACTAAACAAGAATCAAACTGCTAACTTATGCGCATATGTAAACAATGACGACAACACAATTTTGCATCATACTTTAAGAGTTAACGTAAATAAATACAAATGATCAAATGGAAAAAAACACATTTCCTTTCCATTCCTGAATGGAGCTGTGCTGTAGATCCACGAGCTGCGAGTTGCTACTCTGCTTCTCGCTTCACTGCTGCAATCCAGGCGCGTTTCTCGGAAATCTAAACCCCTTAATTTCCGATTATTTATAAATTAATGTTAGTTCCAGGCCAGAGGGAGCACCCAACCACCGAGCAACAAGGATCTAATTTTAATTTTGACATTTTAAACAGCATGAATGTCCTCAAACACTAACCGGAAACGTCCAAGGAACAAAGACGTCACTTCCTTAAACCGCCGAATTGGAATATCCGTTGAAATGGTCCATAGCAAATCAAACTTGTAGCCAGTCAGCAATAAGGTGCGTGTCTACTCATGATGTGGAGGAGAGAGGGTTCAGTGCACAGGACGGACATTAGCCGAGCAGAGCGACAGAAAGCTAGAGATGGCGGATAAAAAAACAAAAGAGGAAAATGTCTGTGGTACGATAAGGCAAGAAGTAGGACCCGTGTAAATATCGGATCAGCTTTCCAGCGCTGGAGAGAACTCAAGGAACGGAGGCCTGCGATCGGACGCCGAGGTTGCTTTGCTTCTTCTCGATAGGTGAGTAACACCGTGTCTACAACAGCTAAAGTCTGCCTACACTGGACGCAATCAAACGACCGTTGAAAACCATTTGAAATTTGTGTCAGCACGTCATGAATAGAACCCGGCAGCAGTTTACTGTCGGAATTTGTTGCACCGCGCCGCTGACGTCCGTAGACACGGTGTAACATTGGTTTTGCTTTGTTTCACAGAACTAATCGTTGACTGGGTTGCGTACATATATGTAGGGCGGAGCTATCAAAATAGGGGCAAGACCCTTTTGGGGTAGGGGCGTGTTTGTTTTGGTGATTTCAAATATCAACATTGGCTACCAGAAATCGCTTACCCTGCCTTTAATGCATTTAATTTATTTTCTTTATATCTTTATTTGATGTAATCCATCTGATCGCACAAGCGCCTCACGCACACACAAACAACATTAGTTCTAGCGTTGCCTGACATTTCAGCCATTCATCATCAAACTAAAATGCAGTCAACCAAACATAAAAGTAACACTGTTTATTTTAAAAGGTCTGCTGTAAAATCAGCGTGCAGGGCCCAAACAAACATTTTTGCACATGTGAAGGATTTTACACGGATATAGAACATGACTGAAGTATAAAGCCATGTTTAGGCTACATAATGAATAATAGTTATGCAAACAAATGTTACAAATATGGCAAAAATGGATACATTTGGATTCTTGTGGTATGAG